TCTTGCAGAGTCCTAGGTCGCCCTTCTTTGGTAGTTTCACGAGGTAACCTTTCCTCCAGTCAGTAGGCACCTTTCCCTCTTTCCAGATCTTTTGCAATAATGGAGTAATCATATCTGCTGTCGTCTCTGCGTCCGCTTTCAGTGCTTCCGGGGGTATTCCATCTGGTCCAGCTGCTTTTCCAGCTTTCAGAAGCTTGATTGCATTCATGACTTCAGTTTTCGTTGGAGGATTGGTGTCAACTTGCAGTTGTGTACGTGCTGTTGTTGGTATTACTGGACGGGTTGTAGGTGGTGGTCGATTCAAGAGTCCTTTCAAGTGGTCCGCCCATTGTTTAATCTGTCTTTCTTCTTTGGTAATTGGGTTCCCTTGGCTGTCTTTTATAAGTTTCACTTGTGTTGATCTCTTCCAGGATAGAGACTTGGTTATCTGATATAGTGTCCTCAGGTCCCTTTTGCCTGCTGCCTTCTCAGCTTCAGTAGCCAGGTTGTCGTAGAATTGTCTTTTGTCCTTCCTGGCACTCTTCTTCACTTCTTTGTCCAGTGCTGTGTAAGTTGAGTTCAGCGTCTCTTTCTCTTGTCCATCTTTGCATTGAATCATTTTTTCTTTCACCTTTCTCCTCTCCTCTATTAGTTTCCAAGTGTCTGTTGAGAGCCATTCCTTGTCTTTTCTCTTCTTTCTTCCTAAATCCGTTGAGCACGTTTCGTTGAAAATTACCTTCAGAGAGTTCCAATGGTCTTCCACGGATGATTCCTCAGTGGTGCCACGTAGTGTTTCCTGCTTTGCTCTGACAGTGGCAGTGAAAGTGTCCTTTGTGGTTGTGTCTTTCAGTTTTTCCGTGTTGAACTTGCATTGTGGCCTATCCCCAGGTATCCTCGAGGCTTTCAGCTTCACCTTGAAAGTCCCTTGTACTAGATAGTGGTCTGAACCCACGTCTGCTCCTCTCCTCGATCTTGTGTCCAGTAGGCTCCGTCTCCACTTCCTTGAGATTGAAATGAAGTCTATCTGGTTTTTTTGTGTCCATCTGGTGAAATCCATGTTGCCTTGTGTATATTCCTGTGTTTGAACACACTGCCACCAATCACCAAATCATTGAAGGCGCAGAAGTCTGAGAAGAGTTCGCCATTTTCGTTCATTTCACCGAGGGCCTCACGACCCATGGTGAGTTCTCTTCCTGTATTGTCTCCTCCCAGTTTCGCATTCATGTCACCCATCAGGATTTTGATATCGCCATTTGGGACGTTGTCCATTACTGTTTGTAGTTGACTGTAGAAATCCTCCTTCTTCTCATGTTCTGAGGTGTTCGTAGGCGCGTAGCACTGAATGATTGTAACCTTCTTTCCTTTTGAGTTGAACCTGGCTGTCATTATCCTGGAGGAGATTGGTTCCCACTGCATGAGAGCTTTGGCTGCTGTTGGCGACATCATGATGGCCACTCCCTCGGTGTGCTCGTGATCGTCCTCTGGGTGACCGGAGTAGATTATTGTCTCTCCAGTTGGTAGTTGGCTCCTTCCACATCCGTTCCATCTGCTCTCACAGATTCCCAACACTTCTATTTTATATCTCCTCATTTCTGCGGCTACCTGAGCAGCCTTTCCAGCTTCGTACATTGTACGAATATTCCACGTCCCCATCCTTATTTTTGCTTTCATCGAAAGAAGGCACATAGGCTGACTGGCTTCCCGAAGGCTTTCACCAGCCCGTGTCATTTCTATTCCCCGATTCCAACGAAAAATAAGGCCACAATTTGTAATTTTAGAATTTTGAATATATTTGTGCGTTGAAGTTTTAGTAGCAATTTGGTTAAGTTTTGGGGGTGGAGTTGCTAGCACCACGCCCTAAACCTCCCTCTTTATCCGGGCTTCGGACCGGCTAGAATACTGGTGACCTAGTAATCTAGGCGAGGTGTTTGAGAATACCACTATTCTATTCGGTAGAGTTGTAACGCGATGTGATGATGAAGCAAATGTCAACTGATTGATTGTTGGCCGAATGAAAGAAATGGATGCGTTTACTGAGAGAGACTAGGCATTAGACGAATATACGTGAATACACAGTCGAAGTGGAAATCATTAACCACGGGAATGATGTGATTTTCAACAAGTGACAGTAACACTGTATACACCCAGCCAACCACCCACCCACAGAGGAAGACTGAACACGCTCCAGACATCTCACGTGAACAAGTATACACAGAGCGACGTGACGATATCCTCGAGGTCAAGTCAACCTCCTTACATAAAATGATGCATTTGTCGATTTCTAATTCGGATGCATGTGATTTTCACCTTCTTCAGAAGCTGCAGTTACCACGGCGAAGGAGATGGCGTCGGCTGTAGAAACCACGACACGTGAGTCCACTTCATTTCTCACCAATAACTGAAAAAGTCAGAGATGCAGATAGAGTTGGATAAAGCGAGAGAAAGGGAGAGAGAGAGAGAGATTGAGCGGGAGACAGATGGCGTCATTTGTCTGCAAAGTGTCACTACTCGTGAGACTGAACTGGTGAGTAGTGACATCTGTGATTTGTGAACTGGGCGATGCAGTCAGTATGCAATCTGCAAGTTGATTGCAGTTCCGATAGTCCCATCACACATGTTCTCGTCGTACATCTGTGTGCAAGGCTTGACGAAGGAGTAGAGGTGTATTCTGAATGTGGGTGGAAGCGATCATTTCGGCTTGAGGATGACAGATGAGAGGGAAGAGAATCAAGGTGTTTGAGAATACCACTATTCTATTCGGTAGAGTTGTAACGCGATGTGATGATGAAGCAAATGTCAACTGATTGATTGTTGGCCCAATGAAAGAAATGGAGGCGTTTACTGAGAGAGACTAGGCATTAGACGAATATACGTGAATACACAGTCGAAGTGGAAATCATTAACCACGGGAATGATGTGATTTTCAACAAGTGACAGTAACACTGTATACACCCAGCCAACCACCCACCCACAGAGGAAGACTGAACACGCTCCAGACATCTCACGTGAACAAGTATACACAGAGCGACGTGACGATATCCTCGAGGTCAAGTCAACCTCCTTACATAAAATGATGCATTTGTCGATTTCTAATTCGGATGCATGTGATTTTCACCTTCTTCAGAAGCTGCAGTTACCACGGCGAAGGAGATGGCGTCGGCTGTAGAAACCACGACACGTGAGTCCACTTCATTTCTCACCAATAACTGAAAAAGTCAGAGATGCAGATAGAGTTGGATAAAGCGAGAGAAAGGGAGAGAGAGAGAGAGATTGAGCGGGAGACAGATGGCGTCATTTGTCTGCAAAGTGTCACTACTCGTGAGACTGAACTGGTGAGTAGTGACATCTGTGATTTGTGAACTGGGCGATGCAGTCAGTATGCAATCTGCAAGTTGATTGCAGTTCCGATAGTCCCATCACACATGTTCTCGTCGTACATCTGTGTGCAAGGCTTGACGAAGGAGTAGAGGTGTATTCTGAATGTGGGTGGAAGCGATCATTTCGGCTTGAGGATGACAGATGAGAGGGAAGAGAATCAAGGTGTTTGAGAATACCACTATTCTATTCGGTAGAGTTGTAACGCGATGTGATGATGAAGCAAATGTCAACTGATTGATTGTTGGCCGAATGAAAGAAATGGAGGCGTTTACTGAGAGAGACTAGGCATTAGACGAATATACGTGAATACACAGTCGAAGTGGAAATCATTGATCACGGTCATGATCTGATTTTCAACAAATGACTATTACGATTTATGCGTCTTTTTACCCACTGAGTTACACTCTACTCGTTCCGGACTTTCAACGTGAATATATATACGCATAACCTTTTTTCTTTTGCCGTGGCTTTCTTCCTGGTTTACGCATATCTTTTTATCTCTGTATATCTCATGTTTTTAATCGTCTCATCCGCTGAACGCTCTTCTTTCTAATTTACTTGTCTCTACATTCGGGTAACAACAATATGTGTTGTTATTCCCCTCTAGGTTACTATTTCGGATGAATGTTTCACACACAGACTAAATAACTGAAGATTCTCTTCTCTACGCAGCTCAAATTTTCAAAATTTGCACTCTATTTTGAAATATGAAATATTTTCTGAACCAAAGCTTTTTAGCTTTGATGAATGAATCAGATTATTAGGAATGCATCCACTGAATTCTGTCACATGGAAGTCATACCTTTCGTTGTCCGCGGTGTTCCCTGGATAATTCACTGCTGTCTGTTTTTTCGATGAGGTGATTATTGAATGTGGAACTAGTGAGGAAATGTCATTAATACAAATACCGATAAGTCTAGTATGAATCAACAGTTCTCGTCATCAGTGATGTGATGTAAATCAAATAGTTGTCTTAATCTATTCTGGAAAATTGCCTGTGTATCTATTCCGGTAACATTTTCTCTAGAAACGTAGCAAACGAACCTATGTGAGAGTGACTCAGTCTCAGTTCTAATTATCTCATCGTTTCAGGCACTATTGGCATATCGTCATTGCCTTCATGAGAGCTACTGTAAACTATTACACTCTTTCTTCACCAAAGTCATATATACATAAGTGCATTGCATCATAGATTTCCGTATCTCCACTATGTTAATGCCTGTTCACGTCAAATATTTCCTACTAGCTTTCATATCCGTTGCGTTTTCGTGCAATGTTTCGATTGAATATTTTAAATTTCATTCTTACAATAACAACAGGGTTTCAAAATAGACACTAGCTAAAAGGATGCTTCTATAACGGATTAAACCCAGTGTGTATGTATTATACTAAGCACACGATTGTCCTTGGGCAGATATTCGAGTTTGTAAATTCGTTATGGTGTTACGGGACTTAAATAACACTAAACGCAAGGAGGAGAGGCATGATATTGGTTTATTCCTAGGGGGGGGGAGGAAATAGTTGGGGATGGACTAAAAAGAAAAATTAACTGTCATCGTCTTGCTCTAAATCGCTATCCGGTTGCATCCGTTTTATTATATTGTGTTTTGTGGTGATATTTCAAGTTTTATTTCCGATAGAAAATGGAAATCTGTTAGTCACTGTGAACATTATCAACCATTGCTTTTGTCTGCTTTATTAGTCACTCTACTGCCACAAAAGAAAGTTGAAATTTATAGTACTGCATATCTTGAAGTCAATGCTGAAAGAGGTAAGTCTTCAGTAATTTGATATTTTTCGTTGAAGTAGGCATAATTTGCGTGTATAATGATCCTAGAAAACACATCTGTTTGTTCATTATTTCATAACGTCTAGATAAGATTCATTATAAATTATTTATATTAATCCCAGCGTGTAAAGAAAATCAAAACAAGATTTTTCTGAATGTTTCGCTGTGTAAGCCACAGCTTCTTCAGCAGATTTATTATCAATTATTATTATAAATCTGCTGAAGAAGCTGTGGCTTACACAGTGAAACGTTCAGAAAAAGCTTGTTTTGATTTTCTTTACACGCTGGGATTAATTTAAATAATTTATAATGAATCAATCTGACTAGGCGCTCAAATTACTCTAGGAAGTTCATAACACCTACGGCCTGGAAACCTATAGTCTAGATAAGATGTCTATGATAAAACGGACTGCTGAGTGTTGTTTCATGCAATAATAAATGCAACCTGATCTGCTACTACTGCTTTAGTTCATGACTAGAAGCAGTTAGTTGACACCGAATACAAAGACTAGGCTTTGTGCATACACCGAACCCCAGCGTACTAACCTCACGTCAATGGTTCAGTGATAGAACGTTTTCTAATCATCCACACCTAAACCTGGATCATCCTATGCTGCGCACTTTGAATTGGGTAGCTTCGACTTAGGGCTTGAAACCACAAGCAGTTAAGTATACCACTGCTACTGAACCTTCATAACTCCAGCTTCAAGCTGTATGTTCCACTCAAAACACAGCGGATCACAGAAATGCACTTGTTAACAGGTCGCATTGCCAGACTTGGTAAACATCATGTTCACTTCAGACACTAGTGCCAACTGATTTCTCTAAATGTCAAATAATACAATACATTGCATTATAATCCACAGCAGTACTGTGCTGCCTGAGTATGCTCCTTCCAAAGGTGGGAATCGACAGTTAAATTTATAATAATGTGGGAATGGATTGACAAATCTGGCTAAATGAATGTGGACAACAGCTCCTTTCATTTTGTGTTTGATTTCAATGATATTTTTGACAGAACTGTGCTGTTTCCAGACAAGTGGTTTCGCTTTTCAAACTGAGTGTGTTTTCAAAATGGTAAATAGAAGAAAAGGCGTTCGGTGAAGAGTAAATATTTTCGAACATGTTGTTCTCAAGCTGAACGATCGCATATGTACGCTGAATATTCTTAGCAACGAAAGGAATAGTTGCAAATATGTGATAAGAAAATTGTTAATTTCAGATAACCAGTTAGGTAATGTACAAAGTGTTAATTGGGTAGAAACAGAAATGAAATAAAATAAGAAGATTGAATGATGCAATACAATTGAAGGGTAGAATTGAATAGAATTCTACTCAAAAGAACCAGAGTCAAGTTTGGATTGCAATATGCATCTACAGATTCACTTGCTCGTGTGGAGATAGGGATGTCTGCCGTACCCAGAGTTCGCTTTCCAAACCTATTATCTGACACTTACTCTCATGGTGACTTGGAAGCAGAAATTTTAAGAAACCACCCTTTTAATTGTCTGAAGAAGACATTTCAAGTAGGCACCTTACGTATCACATTCGCCAGCAGACAGTTAATCCAGTTGAACGTTAAGGACAGGATACGGCTTTTGACCACTTCAATGTGCATTTATCAGTTGACTTACTGGTGGGGAGCAGAGCATATCGACCCTGAGCAACGTCAAGTCCACAAACGTATTCTGAGATGTTTTTTCAGCTTGGTTAGCCAGGGGAGAAAAGAAGAATAAAAGCAGCTGCATCATCGAATATCTCGCCAGCTCTGGACATCGAACATCCACGCATGAATGCATCACAATGCTACACAGAATCACTCAATATCGTACAAAAAAGCTCTCCATACCCCATCTGTACTTAGCTGAGCCACTGGCTATTCGGGATCTGAAACTGAACCTCTGCATTCAAAAGCGCCACATACATTCACTCGCCCAACCGTGGCCAGAGTAACGTTCTTACTATAACTTTGCTTCTTTTTATTATGTAAGTTTACCATTATTAATCTTATTATTGTTCCATTTTCATTAATAATTTCATATTTCATATTTTATTATCACTCTTTTACTTTCTATTGAGAACATTGCGTTTTCATACAGATTTTATATAAAAACACTTTATCGCCTTTCCACTAGTTCCTGTCCAATCTACGCAATCATAACGATTAGTTATTTTCTCGCACTCACTATGCCGTGAAAACTTATGCCTCTTTTCTAACTTACAATTAGTCACTCCTTCTAGATTACACCTTACATTACATAATACGTTTATCCAAAGACAAATTTCACCAGTGTCTGATTGGTTCTGCTATATTTTCTTTGTAAAATATAATAACTATTGTACATCTTATGAAAATGAATCGTCGAAAAGAAAATTTTCTTCACTGTCTCTCTCTTATGTCTCATGGTTTCATGAAGGAAACAGAAGACTCCTCCGTCACGCCTCTATCCTGGAACACCTCAGGGAATATGGACACTAAGCTGGCCCACAGTATAACTTCAAAATTATCAACAAAATACATGGGAATCTTACTTACAGAGTGCTAATCAAATTCCTTCAAACTCCAGAAGCAATGACAGCTCACAGGGTAAATTCTCAACTCTGTATACAACAGAAGTTGCTTCAGTGCTAAATCTACACTGGACCTGATCTCGCTTAACACTGGATAAGTAAATCGTATGTTGATTACTTCCTTATTGTGATATTTTCTCCCACCAACCCCTGCTAAATTTCTACACCTTATAACCACTCTTGTCAACTTGATTCTCGTTCAAATATCAGTTGAATGCTACTCAACCCACTCAGTTATATTGAGTCACTCAATCTACTTATTTTATTTCATTTCAGTTTCTATCCAATTAACGCTTTCTACATTGCCTAACTGGTTATCTGAAATTTACAGTTCAAATGACACATCTTGGCAAATATCCCTTTCGTTGCTTAGAACATTCAGCGTACATATGCGATCGTTCAGCTTGAGAACAATATGTTCGAAAATATTTCCGCTTCACTGAACGCCTTTTCCTTAATATGACTCAATGGGTATTTTTAAATGGTGAAGAGCTAAACAAAATTTCACTACCAGGTTCCAGTAGCTATGGAAGCCTGTGAAAGCTTCTGCCTCCTTGTTGCCATCACTTCACTTGTAGATTAATTAGCTGTTGAAATCATCATAACTGTATTTGAGGCCAATATATCTGAATGATTCTAACAACAGTGAAGACGGCATCCTAATCCAAAGTTTTAATTCTCGATCTTCACTAACACTTCCTTGTGAAATTGTTTATTTCAGGAAGACGTAGAGCATTCTGGCTTCTTCAAGAAAAGACAGACTCCCTGGTATTCGGGTGGAATCGATTCGATGAAAAAGGCATTTCAAAGCTGACTTTAGAACGAGAATTAGACTGGGCCTTTGATGATACTTTGGATCTCCCCTTGGTTAATATATCAGAATTCAATGTAATTGGGAGATCATGCCTATCTGAAAAATATAATATACTTGCAAAGTCGTCAGGCGTATTTCGTTACTATGAGGAGGAGAGGAGGAGTCTGAAATACAAACGAGGTGAGTACATTTTGTGCTGCAGACATTCGTGAACATACAACAGTCTATATTTGGAACGAAGTAGTAAAATATGTTCCTGCATGAATGACCGAAGAGGAAACCAAATGTGTAAATAGTGTAGCCTTTGCGCAACCGATAGATACTTGACATTGAGGAAAACCAGAAAAGACGTTCTCGGTCATCCACGCCTTCTCGGAAATCTATCTAGATGGGCTACACAACATCTCCCATCAGTAGCTGAAGCGTTAGCAATCAGTACTAGAAGACCCAATGACTGTATACCGAGGAAGCATGTCCTGCCGCTGTGTTTACCATGGCCGACAGTAAGATCAACAAATCATCCGAAAACATTGGCATTTTAAATTCCTGTCCCACACTTTTCTCTTTCTTTCATTTACAGACGTCTATTTAAGACCTTCTACTGCCTGACGACCTTATTAGGTGTATCTACTTGTGTTTACGCAATTCTATTCAAACTTGATATTATATTTACACAATGGTGTTCATTTCACTTGATTTAATTCTGTATTACCTGATAAATGTGTGCTGATAGGACGTTTGAGTTGACACCAGCCCGTCGTTAATTTTTTGGTCGTTATTGTTGTCCAGTTTATCGCATTTGTTGGTCTCTTTTCCTGTTGTATTCATGTTATATCACACATCCCTGACTACAATCACCTTTGAGGACTGCACGTTCGCTGGCTAAGTAGATACTCACATCACTGAATTACTTCATCTCATTCTATCTCATAGTCATTTCGACCGTACGTATTCTAAATGGTAATCAGGACTCACTGACCACTACTATCAATCCGTATTGTGCTTGTTCCCCTCAAAACATTTTCCGGATTATTCCAATCACGCATTACTGGCAGTATTGTCTGCCAAAATGAGTGGATTTATCTATAAATCACCTGAAGGAGAGTTCATTGAAAACCATTGTTCACCATAATTATTCTTATTCCGAATAAATTATGAGGATACTGAACAAAAGATACCAGGATGAAACTTATTTTGGCACAAGTGAAACAGATGTCCGAAAATTATCGACTCTAGAAAGCCTACAATCCCAGCTGATATTTAGACACTTCAGAAGTGGTAAAAGCGTTGTGATTCATCTAAACTTTCTTTTCCTGTTCCGCTTCAATCACTAATGGTAATACTAATATCCACCTTGTACCCTAACGCCTTGTGAATGTTCACAATTTTCTCTCCATTTTCAGCACCGAGAATTGCAAAAGTTGAATTCGAACCTGCGTCAAACAAAAATCTACTGGTGAAATGGACGTTGGAAGGTTCTCCATGTCATTCCGAAGATAGTATGATCATGTTCGAAGGATTGACTGATCAACCTCTCGAAATGACCATTATTCCTATCGAAAGTACAGCATCTAGGAAAACCAGAAATTCGAAGGACGTTGTCATCATTCTCGCAGCTTTGCATAATGGAAGATTCTCTCTACCGACTTTAGGTAAGTATTTCAATATTTAATAAAATTGTATCTGAAGCCTAAAATCATTTCAATTATAACATTAGCTATGATATAGTTAGTTAGTGTGCATGAGGCGTAATTTCGGTGAGTACAGTATAGCAGAATGATTTCCCCTCAGATGTACATAATCAATACACTCCTGCTAAAATGGTGAGCATTATTCTAAAATGAAATCGATTGTAACGAATACCACTGAGAAACGAAATGTAGAGAGAGAGACAGAATCAGTAAAAATGGAAACGTTAATTAAGGTAACATATAGGAAAGCGAATAAGTGTTGGTTTACTGGTATGTGATTGGTTACAGGACTGACCATCAGTTTTCATCAGTTGAAGAGCTGCTAGAAAACCAGGAAGTAATGGTCAGCTGTTTATTCCTAGTTTGGAAGTGTCGATCAGTACGCACTCATCAGGGTCCGAAGCAGGACCTTCTGGTTACTGAACTATCACGTCTCCCGATTCTCCTCTATTTGATATCAACTCGTGATCAGTCAAACCCCTACAAGGCAAAATCTCAAAATTATTCTGACGGTCACTGATAAATACCTCGCCTAAAATTAAAAGCTGAAAGACAACAAACAGTATAAAACAGAGTAAAATTGAAAGGCACCACAAATAGTATCCACGAGAATAGAACAAAGCTATGAAATGTGAGAAAATTGGGGAAGAAATGGCCACAAAGCAAAAATGAAAACAATTATGAAAGAAACGCGAACTTAGCAATCTGATGGAAAGAAAGAGATAGAAGAGTGAAAACATCAGCTGGAAAAAATAACAGCGAAGATTGAGGCGACTGGCTCTATTCAGTTAGGTAGTTACCTGGGGTACCAGTGGGAACTCGTGACCAGTAGGGTGCAGCAGGTCGGGTGTGAGGGAAAATACTCGCCGAAGACATTGACTAGCAGTTGCGCTATATCATGAATTGGCAGAAGTTCGAATTCATGGGCCATTGGATCAGGTCCCAGTGGCTTAATGGTATACGATCATGACTTGTAACCAGAAAGTCAAGGGTTCAAACCCCGTTGGGTGCCTACTGCTGAAGAGTACAAAACTGGGACAAACAGATGTCCACTATTCCCAGGTTTTCCAATAGTCCTATAACCAATGTAAGCTCATAAGGAAATCCTGTAAACAATTAACAAAATCCCTACAAACCAATACTTGAATAGTCAAAATAATGGGCATAATAAATCTCCGACTGAAGGACTATAGTTGTGTTGCATAGGACTAAGTCAAAGAAATCAGAGATACGACTTCACAGATTATAAAATAAAGAAAGTTCTAGTGACGTTGCATTCAGCAGCACAAATCAAAACAGAAAACAAAGAGTGGACAAAAGAAGAGAAGCGAAACAACAGAATAAGCACCGAATGACAACTATCAAAATTGTCATTATCAGATGAAGATATACAAAAAATGCACAATAAAATAACAAACAAAGTGAAAACTTGAACAAAATTAACCAAACTTTTTCACAAGGAAATAAAGATCAACAAAAATATAACACTGAATAATGAAAAGAGTGGCGGAAATCGAATGAAATACCTCAAAATGGGTTAGCAGCAGATTATCACAAGTAACACCGACTGCGACACGCGCAATCTCTCCAATAGTACTTGCTTCGCTGTATCATATGTGAGTGGGTGATCGCACTCACTGAATCACCACTCGACAACAATTCACATCTCAGCCGAAATCACCATCAACAAATGTCAGACACGCTTGACGTTCACCTGACACAATCTCCGTAGTCACGATAAGGATGAGATTAGTGTATATTGATTGACAGGCTGCCGACTCACTCACTACACTTGCCACAATGCTTTCTTATTCAGAATCCCCACAGACGTCAAAAATCGAGGAAGAAAAAGTCGAGTCAGCGCCATCAGGTGAGTACATTTAACTTTCACTCATGTCACTTGTTAACGGATCGTTTGCAAGTATACGCTCCTCATCTTATGAGTGATAATATTCATTGGTGGGTTTGAGGTAAGTTTTTTCTCTTATCTCCGGGATCACCTACTTAACATTAACTTTCTACTTATTTTTGATCGCTTAAATGAATTTACTTCCGTGAGAGATAAGTAAGGGTAGTTATAATGAAAATAACGGAAATAAACTGTAAGAAATATACTAAAGCAAGTAAAAATACAAAGAGGTATTTCAGCGTATAAATATCACAGTTTCCTTGTACTCTAATTGTGCTATCGGCTACACGAGTTGCGCTGTACACGAACGTTATTGTTTCTCCTGCCACTGTGAAAACACTCGTCCTCCTGAGAACAGAGACAAGTCGAAACAATAAATTGACTGTCCATTATATGAGACATATATTTCGGGATCAGGAAGATTGAGCGACGATGTCAATATAGAAGAAGCAAACCCCACTGATTTTTGAACTGATACAATGAGACAGAAGTTCTGCAAGAAACTGAGAATGATGGATAGCATTTTTTGGACTATTGAAGCTAAAATACAATACAGTAGTGAATTAGCCAAAGAAAGCATACGTTTATGTATATAAGCATTGATTGAGGGAGAAATAATTATATTCAGAAAGCCAGGTAGAACTTGAGCAGCGAGGATCCGAAGAAATAAGCATAGCTAAGTCCAGCATAACATAAACCCAAAACACACTACCTTTTTGTGGCACAACTGTTTATCGTATAAATGATCCACGATAATAGAGAAATGCATACGTTACTTTGAAATCTCCATCTCCACATGTCCTTAGTGCAGTGTTTCTGCTACTTTAGTCTTTCATTCAAAATTTCTATATTCTTACACAAAATACTTTTCATTCCTCCTCTTCGCCAATAAACCCATTGATGAAATACTCAGTATACTTGCAGGAGATACACTACATACTTAATCATGTCAGTAGCCTACAAGGATGTCAGGGATCTGATAAAATATTAGAGAATCTGTTAAACTGACTGAAAATGAAACGTTGTATACATAAATAGAAATAGGAATGTGCATAAATTAAACCAGGATGCACTTTTTTCAGGTAGCCGGGAAAAACATGAAATTCAAGCAGAAGCGGAGGAAGAAGACAAAGTTATCGGTGGTGAGTCCAGAATGTTAACGATGAAGTGACTGACTGAGATAACTAGAAGATATAACACGTTAGTACTTATTATTGATGGTCCTGTCACTGAATTCCACCCCGGTGAAGCTAGAGCCTAAGAACTTTCCTCGTAGCTTAAAGCCACTGGTTTCGATTCTTGAACTGGTTATGTCCTCATACTGCTTGAGAGTTCAGAGGAAGGAAGAAACCGATTTAAGTTACTCCTTGCCACAAAATAGTTCTCTAACGGCAGTCAGTTTCTGATGAAACATCAGAAAAAATATGATATGCATGTTGAGCGCATAGGCAAAATAATGAGCCGATGGACCAACAGGTCTATTTATAATTTTGCAAAGGTCAATGGGTTGACCAATGGTTTATATAACTGTACGTAACATCCCAAGCATTCAAAACATCCAATGGCTTCGAAGAATACGAAAGGATAGTCAAAAAACAACTAACGACACACAAATAACTGAAAACCAAATTATGAGTCAAATAAAAACGATCATTATACTATGAGCAAAACTCAGAGAAGTGATGAAAATCACAAGGCAAAACAAGAAAAATAAGGAAAACCGAAGAAGAAATAGCCATAAGAAAACACAGAGGAGATACAAAAAATTTAATATCACAGATTAAACGAGAAAAGAAGCAATCAAAAGAAATCTTTTAAAAAGCGAATGAAATTAAATCATACCAATGAATGTGAAAATAAAATCATAAGCAGCTCGAGATACCACAGCGAAAAAAATGAGGTGCACTGCAGAAACCAATAAACGTGAGTCCACTTCATTTCTCACCAATAACTGAAAAAGTCAGAGATACAGATAGAGTTGGATAAAGCGAGAGAAAGGGAGAGAGAGAGAGAGATTGAGCGGGAGACAGATGGCGTCATTTGTCTGCAATGTGTCACTACTCGTGAGACTGAACTGGTGAGTAGTGACATCTGTGATTTGTGAACTGGGCGATGCAGTCAGTATGCAATCTGCAAGTTGATTGCAGTTCCGATAGTCCCATCACACATGTTCTCGTCGTACATCTGTGTGCAAGGCTTGACGAAGGAGTAGAGGTGTATTCTGAATGTGGGTGGAAGCGATCATTTCGGCTTGAGGATGACAGATGAGAGGGAAGAGAATCAAGGTGTTTGAGAATACCACTATTCTATTCGGTAGAGTTGTAACACGATGTGATGATGAAGCAAATGTCAACTGATTGATTGTTGGCCGAATGAAAGAAATGGAGGCGTTTACTGAGAGAGACTAGGCATTAGACGAATATACGTGAATACACAGTCGAAGTGGAAATCATTAACCACGGGAATGATGTGATTTTCAACAAGTGACAGTAACACTGTATACACCCAGCCAACCACCCACCCACAGAGGAAGACTGAACACGCTCCAGACATCTCACGTGAACAAGTATACACAGAGCGACGTGACGATATCCTCGAGGTCAAGTCAACCTCCTTACATAAAATGATGCATTTGTCGATTTCTAATTCGGATGCATGTGATTTTCACCTTCTTCAGAAGCTGCAGTTACCACGGCGAAGGAGATGGCGTCGCCTGTAGAAACCACGACACGTGAGTCCACTTCATGAACGAAAACAATTATGATAGAAACCTGAATTTAGCAACCTAATGAAGGGAAAGAGATAGAAGAGTGAAAATTTCAGCTTGACGAAATAACAGCGAAGATTCTAGTGAGCAATAGTCAAAATGTTGTGCATAATAAATCTCCGGCTGAAAGACTATAGTTGTGTTGCATAGGACTAAGTCAAAGAAATCAGAGATACGACTTCACAGATTATAAAATAAAGAAAGTTCTAGTGACGTTGCATTCAGCAGCACAAATCAAAACAGAAAACAAAGAGTGGACAAAAGAAGAGAAGCGAAACAACCGAATAAGCATCAAATGACAACCACCAAAATTGTCATTATCAGATGAAGATATACACAAAAATGCACAATAAAATAACAAACAAAGTGAAAACTTGAACAAAATTAGTCAAACTTTTTCACAAACTAAGAAAGAATAACAAATATAATAACACTGATTAGTGAAAAATGTGGCGATAAACACAAAGAAATAACCCAAAATGGGTTAGTAGCAGAATATCACAAGTAACACCGACTGCGACACGCACAATCTCTCCAAGAGTACTTGCTTTGCTGTATCATATGTGAGTGGGTGATCGCACTCACTGAATCACCACTCGACAACAATTCACATCTCAGCCGAAATCACCATCAACAAATGTCAGACACGCTTGACGTTCACCTGACACAATCTCCGTAGTCACGATAAGGATGAGATTAGTGTATATTGATTGACAGGCTGCCGACTCACTCACTACACTTGCCACAATGCTTTCTTATTCAGAATCCCCACAGATGTCAGACATCGAGGAGGAGGAAGTCAAGTCAGCGTCGTCAGGTGAGTTCGTTTAACTTTCACTCATCTCACTTGTTAAGGGATTGCATGCAAGTATACTCTCCATATTTTGTTTGGGGTAGCATTGGTGGGTTTGAGGCAAGTGTTTCCTCATATTTCCAGCATCATCCACTCTACATCTAGTTTCCATTCATTTTTGATCCTCTAAATGAATTCAGTTGTGTGAGAGATAAATAAGGGTAGTTATAATCAAAATAACGGAAATGAACTGTAAGAAATACACTGAAGCAAGTAAAAATGCAAAGAGTTATTTCAGCGTATAAATATCTTGTTCTCCATGCACTCTGATTATGATACCGACTACACGAGTTGAGCTGTACACGAACGTTAGTGTTTCTCCTGCCACTGTCAAAATACTCGTCCTCCTGAGACCAGAGACAAGTCGAAACAATAAATGTACTGTCCATTATACGATACATATATTTCAGGATGAGAAGTATTGACCGACGACGCCGATACAGAATAAATAAACAAAATTCTTTCCATTCCTTCTCTTCGCCAATAAACCCAATGATGAAATACTCAGTAGACACACCGGAGACACACTACATACTGAATCATTTCAGTAGCCTAAAAGGATATCTGGGATGTGGTGAAATGTTAGAGAATCGGTTAAACTGTCTGAAAATGAAATCTTGTATACATAAATATAAGAAGTATCTTGCATTAATTAAACCAGGATACATTTGTTTCAGGAAGCCGGGTAGAACATCAAAGTCAAGCAGACGAGGAGGAAGACGGCGAAATAATCAGTGGTGAGTCCAGAATGCTAGTGATGAACTGACTGATCGAGTTTGCTAGTTGATATACGAAGGTAGTATTTATAATTGACGGTCCTATCACCGACTTCACTCGAATAAATACAAAGACTCAGATATTTGTTCAGAGTGTGAAGCTACCGAGTTATTTCTACGGATGTTAAAATCTGAATATTATATAAAATATAAGAAAAACAAGCGGAGCATTTCAAGTTCCTCATTATTGAAAAAACAGCATCCTCGCATTCAGCATGGTTTAAAACATGAGAAAAAAAAGACAAATTGCAAAGAAGAACAGAAAATAATCATATTCCATGTGTTAAAAAACACCAAGTGACGATAAGATAGAAAAACAGACAGAGAAGAAGATGGCGTCGTTTGCCTGCAATGTGTCACTACTCGTGAGACTGAACTGGTGAGTAGTGACATCTGTGATTTGTGAACTGGGCGATGCAGTCAGTATGCAATCTGCAAGTTGATTGCAGTTCCGATAGTCCCATCACACATGTTCTCGTCGTACATCTGTGTGCAAGGCTTGACGAAGGAGTAGAGGTGTATTCTGAATGTGGGTGGAAGCGATCATTTCGGCTTGAGGATGACAGATGAGAGGGAAGAGAATCAAGGTGTTTGAGAATACCACTATTCTATTCGGTAGAGTTGTAACACGATGTGATGATGAAGCAAATGTCAACTGATTGATTGTTGGCCGAATGAAAGAAATGGAGGCGTTTACTGAGAGAGACTAGACATTAGACGAATATACGTGAATACACAGTCGAAGTGGAAATCATTAACCACGGGAATGATGTGATTTTCAACAAGTGACAGTAACACTGTATACACCCAGCCAACCACCCACCCACAGAGGAAGACTGAACACGCTCCAGACATCTCACGTGAACAAGTATACACAGAGCGACGTGACGATATCCTCGAGGTCAAGTCAACCTCCTTACATAAAATGATGCATTTGTCGATTTCTAATTCGGATGCATGTGATTTTCACCTTCTTCAGAAGCTGCAGTTACCACGGCGAAGGAGATGGCGTCGCCTGTAGAAACCACGACACGTGAGTCCACTTCATTTCTCACCAATAACTGAAAAAGTCAGAGATGCAGATAGAGTTGGATAAAGCGAGAGAAAGGGAGAGAGAGAGAGAGATTGAGCGGGAGACAGATGGCGTCATTTGTCTGCAATGTGTCACCACTCGTGAGACTGAACTGGTGAGTAGTGACATCTGTGATTTGTGAACTAGGCGATGCAGTCAGTATGCAATCTGCAAGTTGATTGCGGTTCAGATGGTCATATGGCATATTTTCTTGTCTTGGATGTTTGTGGTAGATTTGTTGATTGATAAGAATTTTTTCTGATTATCTCTAATTGAGTTTTTTTTTTTCTTTTATGCCTACGTATCCTCTGTGGCATTTTTTCTTCTTTATTTTGCCCATATTTTCTTCTTCGTTTATTTTGTTTATATCAGGCTCTCTATTTTCGCTGTGTGTTCTGTAATCTTAACTGTTTTCAAAATTTTTTGAATTTACCCTCCTCTTAGTTTTCTTCTATCTTTTCACCTTAACAGACTTATCTTTCACACACACTCCTCTGCGTGGTGTATGTGAAATCTTAATCTGACGCATGCCCTTCTGAGATTCAAGTTCACTTCTCACAGTCTTGCAGTATGAGATATTACCACTGAGCGATTCTGTTTCGCGACTGACCTCCTGTATGACTATTTTGTATGCTATCAAGTATCTTGTGACTATAGCTTGTTAACTGTAGACTGAATTCTAGCAGTCAAATTTGCAATGAAATAAAAATAACCGTAGATGAGTTAATTCGCCAGACCGGCCAGCTCAGTGGTAACGCCTTCCATTCCAGCACTGGGTGACGCTCGTTTAAGTCTAGGAAGAGATATGGGTTCCCTCAAAATTCCATATACACCTTGCTGACGAGCACCAAAAAGGATGAAACTTAGTTTCAAGGCTTCCTGCCGATTACCTCCAACCATCTAACAACAACACGTTTGAGTGGAACTGGTTTACGAGCTACCTAGCATGTTGACCACATTTCAAACTTGACTGATAGAATTCAGTCAGCAGTAATCAAAGGACTAGACACATGACACCAATAAGTGTCCTATCAGAGTACGTGTTTTTATCGTCCTTTACTAGTAATTCAAATTTTTATCTTGTTTTCAACTAAGTTGACACTGCAACAATGATGTTTTCCTGAACGAATGTTCACTCCATTCTAAACAGATTTCGCATGACTTCAACATTACTCATCTGATCAACATTCTTCCCGAAATAATGAATTGTGGTATATCACTTGCAACTTGTGTCTCTCATATTTACATTTGTTAAGATCACATATTTCGCCTTCTGAATTAATGACGTTATCAGACCTCTAGATAACTGAAATAGGAGTCTGTGTGAATACTGTCGACGTGCTTGTAAAACTCAAAAATCTGCAGCTGTCATTATTAAAACGACAACAAGCGACACTGACAAAATTCTGTCATCCACCGGGAACACGAGAAATGAAGAAGTGCTAGGCGTTAAATACTGAAGTATGAGTTGTTACAAGTCGACTTGGATTCAACCACCCATGACTACTTTTCATAACAGAGCATTATGTCAATTAAGCAACTTCCTAGTTACAGCAAATCTACACTGAGGTTTATTCAACGCTGATAGAGAACTAATAATTCTCTTATTGGCAGATTTCAATAAGAGAGATTTCAGTGTATTGAGGATGCCTGTATATCATAATGAAATCTGATAGTGCTGTATTTCGTCAAGAACTACGATGCAATTAATACAAAGTTGTCAGGAGCTAATTGATTACAGCTTTGGAATTGGCTTATTTACATATTTATGCTATTCGATATATGGTGTTGTTTACATACATACACACAAACATACATCAACGCTTTGGCGTCAGACGTGATGACTGCAGTCCCGAAATATTTCCTCAATTCAACTAAAGTGTTAACTACAAATTTTCCTTTTTTTATTTAGACTTACTCCTTCGAGTGAGCGGCAGTTCATCTAACCGTATTCATATTGGTGAGTTCGTAAAGCATTTACCGATATATTTATATATATACATTTGGGGTTCTTCTTCAAACATCTATTCATCCATTGATTTAGTGCATGTATATTGAACACTGTGATTTATTTTCACTGACTCAATTTTATTTTTATGAATAATGTGACATTCACTGTCAACACGAGTCATCAGTATTCCACGGAGCATCCATGCAGCGTCTGTGCATTCAACAAGCACTTCTCAATTCTCTGATATGTCAATTGAAATTCAACAACTGAAACTTTGAAAGTCTGAAAAGAGAAAACAAAGAGTTTCTTGTTTACTTCTTCGTGCCACCTTCAGTTCCACAAAATTTGATATTGTTAAGCATATTTACTCACTTTCCTGACGTATTCAGAATGAAATTATTGTCATCTTGCTACGAATTACATTCATCTTCTCAAATGATCAACCACTGTCATCAAAAATGATATTTTTCATACATTTGGTTCCCTTGATAAATTTCGATAGAGAAAGAAAGACCAGATTTGGCAATATAAAATGATATCATTCTATTTCACAGGCTCTCATCAGCTGCAGCTGATATCATTTTATACTGCAAATCTGGTCTTTCTTTCTCTAACGAAATGATATTTTTAAGATCTGGTCACAGATGATCTAGAATTGGGAATTTATGAAATCTTTTCGATAAATTCTTCATCAGGTTCTACAATTATATATACATTATAATGAATGAATGAATTAGTCTTATGAACGACATTAATGTTTAAATAAATAAATTCGCCCTACCATGCTCTAGCTAGATGGTTAGTAAATATTCTCAAACCATTGCATGAGAAGATAGTGAAATATAGTGTCAAAGATGTATTCGAATTCGTAGACAAAATAAAAGATATTAATATCAAGGAAAAAACCATGATATCTTTGGACATAACATCATTATTCACAAATGTACCTCTAATAGAAACAGTTAATTATATATGTGAACAAGTGGACAAGCAGTCGATAAACATTGGAATCCATATTGAAATCCTAAAAGAATTGATATTAAGATGTACTATGAATGTTAACTTCAAATTTGACGGCACGCTTTACAGGCAAGTGGACGGGGTGGCAATGGGCTCCCCATTAGGTCCAATTCTGGCTGATTTCTTTCTAAGTAAGCTAGAAAATGGACCTCTGAACAACCTTATCAGAAAGCTCTCATTTTATTGCCGATATATGGATGACACCTTTATTCTTTGTGATAATGCTTCCGATAGGACTACAATAATTACTGAATTTAATGAAGTACATCCGGCTATGAAATTCACATGCGAGGAGGAATCCCAAGACAGAATTGCCTTCCTCGATGTCCTACTTACAAGAAAACCAGACGGAAGCATAAAAAGAAATTTACATAGAAAAAGTACTTGGACGGGACAATATACACACTTTCATAGCTTCGTTCCCATCAAATACAAAAGGAATTTGGTGAAGACCCTTAGCCACAGAGTTAGAGCTATATGCTCTGAGGAAGTAATTAAAGATGAATTAAACATCGTATATGATACTTTAATTGAAAATGGTTATCCTGACAAGTTTATCAAGAAACATATGACGAAGAAGGCCGAAAAGGACGACCCACTATCGGTAAACAAGAAGCCCCTTTATATACGACTACAATTCAAGGGCGATAAACCAAGTGAGTTAATTACAAAGAAATTAAGAAAAGCAGTTCAAAGGACTTTTAATGCTGGCGAACTACACATCTTATTCTCTACAAGACCGATGGTGCTACCTCGACTGAAAGATGAAGTACCTAGACTGGCCACTTCAAATTGTATTTATCAATTCAACTGCGCTTGTGGAGCGAGTTATGTTGGCCGTTGCTCTAGGAACTTGATTTTTCGTGCTCGGGAACATATTCCACTATGGCTAAGTAAAGGTGTAGTTAAAAGTATTAACAGCTCAATATTAGACCATCTGGTGCAAACCGGTCACAAAGCCAGCGTAGACGAATCCTTCTCCATAATATACCGGGTGCCCAACAAACTACCAAAATCCTCGAAGCACCGCTTACTCCAAACAGCAGAGGCTATTGCAATTCGCCTCAAACAACCAGCGCTCTGTGTCCAAAAGAAACAAGTCCAGCCCCTACTACTGCCCTGGCCCTCAGTAGAGACTATAAACTCATGAATTTTTACCATTACCTTTCCTAATTATTCTGACATTCAGTTTAATTAATGTTGATGCAGTTCAGCTGTAATTTATCAATATTATTGATTTGATGTTATTTAAACATTAATGTCGTTCATAAGACTAATTCATTCATTCATTATAATGTATATATAATTGTAGAACCTGATGAAGAATTTATCGAAAAGAGTTCTCTTTGTTCAGTGTCTATTCTTTTGAAAATTTTAATGGGCATTTTTAATGAATTTATGAAATTCCTGTCCATCCCAGGTAGAGCTAACGAGATCATTATGATTGACTGACAATAAGTCAGACTGTTGTATTTTGCGAGGCGTACATAAATGTACACAAAAATGTGTTTAATGATGAGTAATTCATCTGTATCCATTCGAATATTAAATGTTTTGATTTGACACTATGAACTAGTGTTATGCGTCTAGTCCTCTCTTTGGTGAAGACTGAATTCTATCAGTCAAGTTGTAATGTGGCCACCATTCTAGGTAGCTCGCCATCACGGTGTACATAGTTTGTGATGATGTTAGGTGGTTGGAGGCAATCGGCAGGAAGCCTTGGACCTAGGTTTCGTGACTGATAGAATTCAGTCTTCACCAAAGAGAGGACTAGACGCATAACACTAGTTCATAGTGTCAAATCAAAATATCTACTACAGTCCTACAGGAGGTCAATCGCGAGCCCGAATAGCTCAGTGGTAACGTCTCTGACTGCAGCACTGGGTGACGCGGGTTCGAATCTCAGAAGGGACATGAGTTCCTTCAAGGTTGCAGATACGCCTTGCTGACGAGTGCCAACTAGCACGAAACCTAGGTCCAAGGCTTCCTGCCGATTGCCTCCAACCACCTAATAATATTAAATGTGGATTGAAAACAACTATGAAACTATATTGGGAGGAGTTTAGAGGTGAATAGACTCTTCCATATCATGTAATTAACAAACAAAATTCCAACGAATTCAACAACTAGAAAGTGTATACATTCTGTGAACTATTGTCTCCGAAGTAACTCCGAAGCTGATGAACCCGATGATACTGATTATGTGTAGTGATCACTTGGTCAGAGTATCTACCTTCCATTGGACACACATACTTCCATGTGATCAAGTATCGCTAACAGCGAACAAAACGAAGAAGATAATTACAATCAACAGGACGGTTGAGTGCTCGTTGTGTTGTCCTCAAATTCATAACTAGCCTCACCACAATGATAGTTTATTTCATTGAAATGAATCTGCAATTCGTATAGCAATATAGAATGCTTTATGATTACACACCTCCCTTTTGTCCATGAGGTATTTTCAAGCATTTAGATGATGGAATCATTATCATGCTCTACAGTTGTCCAGAATTCCAGGTAGAATAAATAGTGTGGGAGGACGTGAATTAAGGGAGATGGAAGCCATCAGTGAGAGAAAATATAAGAGAAAAAATGTTCAGCGAAGAGTATATCTTTTCGGTGATATCATCCTCAAGCTTCAAAATCGCAAATGAATAGTAAATTTGTTAGCAACAAATGCAATATATGCCAAGATGTGTCATTTGAACTGGAAATTTCAGATAACCAGTTAGACAATGTAAAAAGCGGTAATTGGATAGAAACTGAAATGAAATAAAATAAGTAGATTCAGTAACTCAATATTACCGAACGGGTTGAGTAGCATTCAACTGATATTTGAACGAGAATCAAGTTGACAAGAGTGGTTATAAGGTGTAGAAATTTAGCAGGGGTTGGTGGGAGAAAATATCACAATAAGGGAGTAATCGACATACGATTTACTTATGCAGTGTTAAGCGAGATCAGGTCCAGTGTAGATTTAGCACTGAAGCAACTTCTGTTGTATACAGAGTTGAGAATTTACCCTGTGAGCTGTCATTGCTTCTGGAGTTTGAAGGAATTTGATTAGCACTCTGTAAATAAAATTCCCACGTTTTCTGTTGATAATTTTGAAGTTATTTTGCGGGTAGGCTTCGTGTTCAGATTCTATCAAGCCTTTCAGGATAAAAGTGTGGCGAGGGAATCTTTCTTCTCTTCTTTAGCGAATCATGAAGGTAAGTGTTCGATGATACGTTTGGATGAGGAATGCTGGGTACGGACAACATTCCTATCTCCACACGAGCAGGCGAATTGGCAGATGCACATTGCTGAACGCTTTTTCTTTTATATAACTCAACGGGGATTTTCAGTTTGATTAAACTTTGCAAAGATAATATAATCTAATTTGTAACACACTCCGTATTCCACTTACTTAGTCGGAGCATAATCGTTTCAGTTCAACTTGCTCCGGGATCTCCTAAAGTTATCCCACAGAGACCCCGATATCTATGATTTGTTCAACTGACTATATTGAACACAGGATGGAATGATTTAAGTCCTTTCGCATGATTTATGTACAGCGTTATTTAACGCCCGATTACTTCTGACCCACATTGTCTTCACTATCTGTTTCCTTGACAAAGACGAAGTTAAGCAACCACCGTTCAAGCATCACTCTTCAGTTCAATACCAGACCTTACCACATTTTCATTCAACATGCTTTACTTCCAGGAAGGTTAGTACCTTTCTCAAATCACAAGACTATTCTTGAAACAATATGACTGTTCTCTTTAAAGGGTATTAATAACTCGAGATGCAGTGTCCGTGCTTCAGTCTCACTTCAGAAATACTTTCACATGATTCTTCCTGAGAACCATGATCGAATTATCTGCCACAGATCGCTGTCACCAATGAACTCAACGAAACTGCATTACGTTTAATTCCTGTTAGTCTTTCAAACAGAACTTCCAATAAGTAGATCCAGTGTGCAAGATTCACTCCACATGTTGCTATTCGAACATGAAGTGCATGAAGATAGACACGTTTACATATAGACAGGTTATTTATATTCACCTGACGACTATAATTGAAGTAAGATTTTGTATGCACGTACCCACTAGCATCTATTCATATGTGAATGACCGTTTTCCGCTGAAATCTACTAGTGATGTTATTGAACGAAATCACTGTAGTATATTTATTGATATGTAAGAATTTGTGATATGATGCTGTCGATTCACCACATGTGAAATTAAAAATGATCCAGTTTCTCTTTTGTCTTGATTCTCCTCCTCCAGGTACCATTGTAGCAATAGTACTCGTGTCAGTTTTGGCGATATTAACCATTATCTACTTCTCGTATAGACGATGGTGTAAACAGAAATTGGTGAAATAAATATTCTCCTCTCAGTGTTCATCAATAAGGCTTACGATCATTGTAGTTAGCAAAGGCAACAAGACGCTTTTCAGTCGTCGACGTTTCTACATTATTTTCGTATCTGATTTCACTTAATTGTAACATATTTTAACGTAGTATTCACTTAACTTCATCAACGACAATTCACTCATCTCACTTATTCTCCCATGTGATTGCATTTGAGTCTGCGGAATTTAAATATGTTCAGAATTCCGAATGTTCCGAATCTCCTAAACATTTACTGAACATTGTGTTCACAACTTTTATTCATTCATATTTGTTATCAATTTGTAATTCATAATTAACTGCACAAAGATTATCGCAATGTTGTACTTTCACTGTGTCAAATTTTAACATGCATACAAGACAAGACCGGTTGTTAGTGTCTGTTGTCTGTGCACCAATGAAGATTATTGTCATACCAGCTTTTGTATTTCTCAATCAATAAAAACATAAAGCAATATTGTTTCTACTGACTTCTCGCTATGTTGTTCATGGCTTTTTCAAGATAAAAGTAGATCAAAATTCACACAGTCCAGCTTATATACAGTTACCTAATGGTAGTTATTCAGAATGAGGCAATTTTTAACTTCATCAAATGGGTGAATTAATAAACACAGCAAACCATTAGAAGATCGTTGTATCTCATAAATGTATGAGATTATAACGAACGTCATGTGTTCACAGAATTAAAAAGCTCATGTTATTTGTGCTCATTTTGTCACTTCATCGGGTGGTGAGGAGTACTGGATCCAGGTTCAATTCAGTCTGAATCCGTCATTCCTATTCAGACAACTTGCATTCCACTTAATATTGAAGCGCTTCTTATTTCACCTCCTCTGTGCATATCCAACAGTTTGACTGCTCCTCTGAAACCAGTTAGACTGTCCATCATTGGATTTCCGAACAGCATCCTTCACGATTACACAAAAATCGTTGACGAGATCTATTCACAACTCTGTTCTAGCACACCTTGTTTGTAGTGAGAGTAAAAGCGATACTAATAAAGCATGTAAAATTATTCATCGCATTCCTACTAATATTCATTGCATCCTTTGAGTTAGTCTTCTACATACAGATGAGACCTTCGGGATCCACCTGAAGAAGTCAGCCAGATATGTGCGTTCAAAAGAAATTAGTTCACCTCCTTTCCGAGCCTCGGCCACCAGTACATGAATGTAAACATTGAAAAATATTCCCTCCTACCAAGCCTTTCATAGATTGGCGCTGTCATAATCACATTATTTTTCAGAATACTTCATCTTTAATTGCTTGTTACGCAGTTAGTTTGAGCACACGTTTGTTTCCTAATTACTCGTCGAAGATTCTCAAAATGCACGTTGTGCAATTTACTGGTTCAAGCTTTCTTAAACATTTCCACCTTCCAATCGGAGCACTAATTTTCTTGGTTGATAACCACCTCCATGACATGGTGATATTGACCAATTACTGCTGCAAGAAATGCCACTTATGAAGCGTGTGTCATCTTCCAGTTCCCTTGTTCACTCTACTCAGTAGTCGGATAGAGGGTGGAAGTGCGTGACACAGAACTTACATTTTGTCTATCACTGGGTAATTATAGCCAATGGAAATCCAACTGGGAGTAATACTCGACATTTTTCTGTATATTCAAGAATGAGGAGAACAATTTAGAGAGTAGGCACCAGGTGAAAATTTGAGAGCAACATAAGCTGATATCACGCATTCGGTTCACGAACAACACAGTTAGTTTCTTCTCCTCACCAAAGTAAGGCAGGATTGGGTGGTAATAACTACTCAGTCAATATTGCCTTCCATACACTGATACGTAATCGGAAGTAGATGGTCTTAAGTCGGCTTAACCAAGAGTGGAAAAATCCATGCTGAATAACACACTTTACAGTTGGAAGGATTGTGCTTCACCAACTAGTCTACTTTCTGAAAAGAATGCAGCAATATTTTACCCATAGTGGCGAGGAATTTTATAAATCCACCATTCCGTCCGTGATTAAAATTTCTTAACCTTCTCAATATCAAGAGTATACTTGTAGTGACCCGTTTTATTACTCATCATCGCAATATACTTTCATTGTGTAATTGTACTTCGATTTGTTTATTACTCTAAATCTTGCATGTTAACAATTGATACCTTTTGTGCTCGCTCGATTTTTAAAATTGTTGATTGCTGCAATAATACACTATCGTATTCCTTCGCAAGTGCCTTTTGAATTACGTTGCGGATGTCGAGTAATCACAACGTTAGGTCACAATGGTAAAAGCGAAGAAATACTAGAAGATACGTGTACTCTAGTTCAGTCAAAATATAGCAGCGCAACACATTGGCGAGCCCGACATGGCTGATCGATCGACTACACCATTTCGAAATATACGCACAGTGGATTTAATTATCTTTGCGATCGGATTAACTTTTATAACTACATAACATTTGGATGTATAATTACTGATATTTCTGCTAAAAGTACCTCCGGACCTGGCGGCACAGCAACTGCTATCCCAGTTCACTGTGATAGTCAAGCAGCTGGCTGTTATGCAACACCTCAATTCCAGTTCTCTGTCCTCAAGCTTCAGCATTGTCTACAGGTGTGCAAACACTCTTACAATGGTCTGCAACTCCATTTACTCAAACCGGTCCTACAGCTGTTCAATTACAACAGTTGACCCAATCACCTCAACAACAACAACAACAGATTCAAGCACAAGCTCATCAGTTACAACCAGCTCAACAGCAAGCTTATATCCAACAACATCAGCAACAAGCAACAATGATGGCAACTGACGTCTCTGCCAGTGGTCAACCTTGTACTGTAGCTGCATGCTCCTATGCTACTCCCCAGTTTATCATTCTGGCACCAGGAGCTCCATTAAAAGTCATGACTGTTGGTCCTAACGGTCAATTGATTCAAACCACTGGTTTACCAGTTTATGCCAACTGCTCTTGTTGGAATGGCTATCAATCAACCAACTTCTACTCTCCAACCTCAGCAAACATCAATTCAAGTTACTCCTCAACGCCGAGTAACAACACCCCAGCAACAACAACAACATGCTGACGGACGTTCACTTTCAACCGTATCAGCAGCAGCTACTGCTGTACTCTTCTCTGGCACAGCCATCTCTTCTTGTACAATTCCACTTGTACAACCAGCTTTCATGGCAATAGAGGTAACTGAATGTTTACCCAAGTCATTTCCATACTTCCTTATTACTATACTATTAACTGTATGTTAAGATATAAATCTATTCTGTAACTCTTTACAATAACAACCTCATTAATATTCTAATAATTTTTCTGGTTTTATTGTTACATGTTGCACAACTTTCTAAACATTTTAGTTCGTTTCGAAGTTGTTAACATTTTTGCATATATACAGTTGTATTATCAAACCTCAGAAAACTTAAAATCCTCAATTTGGTTTTCATAACAAAAACTCATTTATTTTTTTTTTGTGTAATTATAATTTACAATATCATTCCGAATACAGGTAAACTTCATTTACCTGCATTCTACGGAGGGGCTATTGTAGTGACCCGTTTTATTACTCATCATCGCAATATACTTTCATTGTGTAATTGTACTTCGATTTGTTTATTACTCTAAATCTTGCATGTTAACAATTGATACCTTTTGTGCTCGCTCGATTTTTGAATTGTTGATTGCTGCAATAATAAACTATCGTATTCCTTCGCAAGTGCCTTTTGAATTACGTTGCGGATGTCGAGTAATCACAACGTTAGGTCACAATTATAAACGCGAAGAAGTACTAAGATGTACGTGTATGCCAGTTTAATCAAAATTCAGCAGCAACAAATTGGTGAACCCGACGTGACCTTGCTGACTCCGACGACGACGACTTTTTGACCTCGACGCGTCGTTACACTTTCTGGATTATTAAAACTCTAAATTTCGCGGATCTATATATTTATTATACAATTCGAACTTATTCTTGTGTTTGCTCACAGCACAACATACTCAATGAGGGTAGGAATCAGCGAAGTGATGCATTTAAAGCGTACGTATACTTCCCATGATCACGGGAATACTTTGTGGAATATATCAAAATTGTAGAAAAACTAAACCCAACACGATATGGAATTGACGATGTCCGCGAAGCGAACAAGCTTTGGTACACAACAAGATATTCATCCACACGTTGAAAATGCTGATGAATCCAGACCACTATCTTTACAGCACCAACTCATCAAGAGGTTTAAAAAATAATGAAAATATGCTGACAGCCGCATTTTGAATTCCACTGACTCATTCAATGGCGATATTCTGCTCCTGCATGCTTCGTTCATCACTTTGTATGGTTCGCAGTCATTCCGGTTCCTGACCGAAATGGATTAAAAAGTCAACCGGTTGCTGATTATTACTTCTTAGCATGTTTAACTAAACACTAACTACTGTGATGAGCCGCTTGCAGATGCTACTGCTCCAAACATTATTGTCGGTAAGCTGGTTACCATTTTACATGCCATTTTCATACTATTGTCAATAGCCCACCATATCAACTGTAATAAAAACAGAAACTATATTATAACACTAATCAATGTTTTATTTTCTTTACTTGCAGGAAGATACGCGGGAATTAACTATCTGAGCCAGGAGATACAAGAATTGCAGAACCAGTAAAACTCTAAGGCTGGACTCCAGCACTTTTAAAAAGTTGATCTCCTGGGATAAACGTTCCCCTGCACAGCTCGTGTTCTGTTTCCAATGCTTGTGTCTGCTGCTTCGCTTGTTTCACGACAATATGTAACGCAGCCTTCAGTAAATACGCCCATCTTCAACAGATTCAGAGAATATTGGTGCCTAGAATTATATCATGCAAATTGCTTTTGCTAGTGTAAATTGTGAAAACTGATAGGATTCCATTAGGTTTCTCGGTATAAATATTCCGTGCAAGTGAAAAAATGCAAATATGCTTACTCCATGTACATATTATTTATTATATTGATGATGTCTGCGAACTGGCATT